TGCATACCTAACGAGCTACATACTGCCCAGAGGGGGTCTGGTGGCAGCAACCCTTAAAATTAAGACTATAGTTAAGTTATTCCCCTTAGAATTAGTGACCCCAGAGTCTGGCAGTATACCCTGACCAGGGGAATAGCCCAAAGGGGAAACAGGATGCCGGGCTGTTTGATACCACTTGAAGTGACGTTTGATTAATTCATAAGAATTGCATTTACATCCAAATACTAAAGCCTGAACTTGTATATAATGTAAGCCTCACACTGCTAAAAACAAGCAATACAGTACTAAAGTAGTGATGAAAGTCAGATACATTACACTATATACTGTATTACAGATTATTGATTCAAACAATACTGTACTATATTACAGTATAAGGAAATGATAAAAGAAAATTAAGTTGAACTCCTTATGGATGGAATCACAACTTGTGGTTATTTTGACTGAGTCTGTTGTTGGTTGAGGGTTAGTAAGTGTGTACAGTACAGGGTATGTCTCCATACACTCCTTCCACATTTAAAAGAGGTAGCTACAGGGTATAACTGGACAAATATACACAGGACAGACAAGTAAACTAACAGCAAGGTGACCACAAATACATATAAAAATAAGATTTGTAATATTTCAATGAGATTTACTCAATACAAATACTACTGTAAAGGTCAATATATAAATAAATAACAAGTGACAAATCTTTTCAATATGTCAACACAGTAAAACAGTGGTAAGATTAATGATGGTGACCAGACGTTTGGACCAATCCTAGGTTGGGTTCTAACACCCTGGCCCAAACATCTGTGGTCCAAACATTTAGGGTTCAAACATCTGTGGTCCAAACATGTGGTCTTAACATCTGTAGCCCAAACATGTGGTCCAAACATCTGTAGCCCAACCATGTGGTCTTAACATGTAGCCCAAACATGTGGTCCAAACATCTATGGCCCAAACATGTGGTTCAAACATCTATGGCCCAAACATGTGGTCCAAACAAGTGGCCCAAACATGTGCTTCAAACATCTATGGACCAAACATGTGGTTCAAACATCTATGGCCCAAACATGTGGTCCAAACATCTATGGCCCAAACATGTGGTTCAAACATCTATGACCCAAACATGTGGTCCAAACATCTATGGCCCAAACATGTGGTTCAAACATCTATGGACCAAACATGTGGTTCAAACATCTATGGCCCAAACATGTGGCCCAAACATCTATAGCCCCAAACATGTGGTCCAAACATCTATAGCCCAAACCGTGGTCCAAGTATCTAGAGGGCCCAAACATGGTTCAAACATCTATGGCCCAAACATGTGGTCCCAAACATCTATGGCCCAAACATGGCCCCAAACATCTATAAGCCCAAACATGTGGTTTAAACATCTATGACCCAGCCATGTAGCCCCAACATGGTCCCAAACATGTGGTCAACATCTATGACCCAAACATGTGGTTCCAAACATCTATGACCAACCATGTGGCCCCCAAACATGTGGTCCAAACATAAGCCCAAACATGTGGTCCCAACATTAGCCCCAAACATGGTCAAGTATCTATGGCCCCGTATGTGGTTCCAAGCATCTATGAACCAACCATGTGGTCCCAAACATAGCCCAAACATCCTATGGCTGAGACATGTGGTCCAAGCATGGTCCAAACATCTATGGCCCAAACATGTGGCCCAAGCATCTGTGGCCCCAAACATGCTGGTCCAAACATCTATGGCCCAAACATGTGGTTCAAACATCTATGGCCCAAACATGTGGTCCAAACATCTATGGCCCAAACATGTGGCCCAAACATCTATGGCCCAAACATGTGGTCCAAACATCTATGGCCCAAACATGTGGTTCAAACATCTATGGCCCAAACATGTGGTTCAAACATCTATGGCCCAAACATGTGGTTCAAACATCTATGACCCAAACATGTGGTCCAAACATCTATGGTCCAAACATGTGGTTCAAACATCTATGGCCCAAACATGTGGTTCAAACATCTATGGCCCACACATCTATGACCCAACCATGTGGTCCAAACATGTGGCCCAAACATCTATGGCCCAAACATGTGGTCCAAACATGTGGTCCAAACATCTATGGACCAAACATGTGGTTCAAACATCTATGACCCAACCATGTGGTCCAAACATGTGGCCCAAACATGTGGTCCAACATCGGAGGTTCAAACATGTGGGTCCAAAACATGTGGTTCAAACATCTATAGCCCAAACATGGTCCAAACATTCATGGCCCAAACATGTCCAAACATTTAGGGTTCAAACATCTGTGGTCCAAACATGTGGTCTTAACATCTGTAGCCCAAACATGTGGTCCAAACATCTGTAGCCCAACCATGTGGTCTTAACATGTAGCCCAAACATGTGGTCCAAACATCTATGGCCCAAACATGTGGTTCAAACATCTATGGCCCAAACATGTGGTCCAAACAAGTGGCCCAAACATGTGCTTCAAACATCTATGGACCAAACATGTGGTTCAAACATCTATGGCCCAAACATGTGGTCCAAACATCTATGGCCCAAACATGTGGTTCAAACATCTATGACCCAAACATGTGGTCCAAACATCTATGGCCCAAACATGTGGTTCAAACATCTATGGACCAAACATGTGGTTCAAACATCTATGGCCCAAACATGTGGCCCAAACATGGCCCAAACATGTGACCCAAAACATGTGTGGTTCAAACATCTCTGGTCCAAACATCTATGACCCAAACATGTGGTTCAAACATCTATGACCCAAACATGTGGTTCAAACATCTATGACCCAAACATGTGGTCCAAACATCTATGGCCCAAGGGGTCATGGTCCAAACATCTATGTGGTTCAAACATCCATGACCCAAAACATGTGGTTCAAACATCTATGACCCAAACATGTGGTTCAAACATCTATATTCAAACATGACCCAAACATGGTCCAAACATCTATACCAAACATGTGGTCCAAACATGTGGTTCAAACATCTATGACCCAAAAACATGTGGTCTAAACATGTGGTCCAAACATCTATGGCCCAAACATGTGGTCCAAACAAACTATGGCCCAAACATCTATGGCCCAAACATGTGGTCCAAAACATCTATGACCCAAACATGTGGTCCAAACATCTATGGCCCAAACATGGTCCAAAACATGGTTCAAACATCTATGACCCAAACATGTGGTTCAAAACATCCCCAAAAAACATCTATGTGTGGTCCAAACATCTATGGCCCAAACAAACATGGGTCCAAACATCTATGACCCAAACATGGTCCAAACATCTATGGCCCAAACAGAAACATCTTGGCCTAAACATGTGGTCCAAACATCTATGACCCAAACATGTGTCCAAACATCTATGGCCCAAACATGTGGTCCAAACATGTGTTCAAAAAATCTATATCCAAACATGTGGTTCAAACATCTATGTGGTCTAAACATGTGGTCCAAACATCTATGAAACATGTGTGGTCCAAAACATCATGTTGTGGTTCAAACATGACCCAACCATGGCCCAAACATGTGGTCCAAACATCTATGGCATGTGGTCCAAACATCTATGCCCAAAACATGTGGTCCAAACATCTATGCACCAAACATGTGGTCCAAACATCTATAGCTCCAAATATCTGGGTCTGAAACATCTGGCCCAAACATGTGAAACATCCATGGCATGGCCCAAAACATCCAAACATCCCAACCATATGGCTCAAACATCTAAACATGTGGTCCAAACATCTATAGCCCAAATATCTGGTCCAACATCTATGGCCCAACCATGTGGCCCAAAACATATGGCTCAAATATCTGGTCTAACTGCGGCCCAACATCTATGGCCCAAACATGTGGTCCAAACATCATGGCCCAAATGGTCCAAACATCTATGGCCCAAATGTGGCTCAAACATCTATGGCCCAAACATCTGTCCAACATATGGCCCAAACTCAAACATCTATGTGGTCCAAACATCTATGGCCCAAATATCATGGCCCAAATATCTGGTCTAAACATCTATGGCCCAACCATGTGGCCTGGGAAACACCTAAACATGTGGGTCTGAACATGTGTGTCCATGTGGGCAAACGTGTGGTCTGATCATATGGCCCAAACATGGTGGCTCCAAAAAACACGTGTCCAATGGCCCAACCATGTGGCCCAAACATCTATGGCCCAAATATCTGGTAAAAACATTCATGTGGTCCAAACATCTATGGCCCACTAAACATGTGGTCCAAAACATCTATGGCCGAACCATGTGGCCCAAACACCTATGTGTGGTCCAAACGCCTATCTATGGCCCCAAATATCTGGTCCAAACATCTATGGCCCAAACATCTATGGTCCAAATGGCTCCAACATGTATGCCCAAACATGTGGTCCAAACATCTATGGCCCAAACATCTATGGCTCCAAACACGTGGTCCAAACATCTGGCCTGGCCCAACATGTGGTCCCAAACATGTGTCCAAAACATCTATCCAAAATGTGTGGTCCAAACATCTATGGCCCAAACATGTGGTCCAAACATCTATGGCCCAAACAAGTATCTATTGGTCCAAACATCTATGGCCCAAACATGTGGTCCAAACATCTATGGCCCAAACATCTATGGTCCAAACGTGTGGTCCAAACATCTATGGCCCAAACATGTGGTCCAAACATCTATGGCCCAAACATCTATGGTCCAAACGTGTGGTCCAAACATCTATGGCCCAAACATGTGGTCCAAACATCTATGGCCCAAATATCTGGTCCATACATCCTACATTCGTTACAAACTTGTAACATCTGATTTGAAGTAAAAACAATTGCTGGAATAGAAGTTTGTGTTGTAACAGTAAGAACTCAATGTGTCCACTATAGAACGAGGCAAATACTACCTTCTGGGGATGACAGTTCTTATGTACACACACTTCAGGGAATTTCTTGAAAGGAGTCTACAATACAATACTGTACAGTAATGATATTTTACAAAAGTTATGCAGTGAATGAGATGCAGGAAATTGTATTGTATGTTGACACTAATGACACAACAGTTGATTATGTTGACACTAATGGCACAACAACAGTTGATTATGTTGACAGTGATGGCACAACAACAGTTGATTATGTTGACAGTGATGACACAACTACAGTTGATTATGTTGACAGTGGTGACACAACAACAGTTGATTATGTTGACAGTGGTGACACAACAACAGTTGATTATGTTGACAGTGATGACACAACAACAGTTGATTATGTTGACAGTGGTGACACAATAACAGTTGATTATGTTGACAGTGGTGACACAACAACAGTTGAGTATGTTGACAGTGGTGACACAACAACAGTTGATTATGTTGACAGTGGTGACACAACAACAGTTGATAATGTTGACAGTGGTGACACAACAACAGTTGATTATGTTGACAGTGATGACACAACAACAGTTGATTATGTTGACAGTGATGACACATTAACAGTTGCTTATGTTGACAGTGGTGACACAACAACAGTTGATTATGTTGACAGTGGTGGCACAACAACAGTTGATTATGTTGACAGTGGTGACACAACAACAGTTGATTATGTTGGCAGTGGTGACACAACAACAGTTGATTATGTTGACAGTGATGACACAACAACAGTTGATTATGTTGACAGTGGTGACACAACAACAGTTGATTATGTTGACAGTGATGACACAACAACAGTTGATTATGTTGACAGTGATGACACAACAACAGTTGATTATGTTGACAGTGGTTGACATGTTGACAGTGATGACAACAACAGTTGATTATGTTGACAGTGGTGACACAACAACAGTTGATTATGTTGACAGTGATGACACAACAACAGTTGATTATGTTGACAGTGATGACACAACAACAGTTGATTATGTTGACAGTGATGACACAACAACAGTTGATTATGTTGACAGTGGTGACACAACAACAGTTGATTATGTTGACAGTGGTGACACAACAACAGTTGATTATGTTGACAGTGGTGACACAACAACAGTTGATTATGTTGACAGTGATGACACAACAACAGTTGATTATGTTGACAGTGATGACACAACAACAGTTGATTATGTTGACAGTGATGACGCAACAACAGTTGATTATGTTGACAGTGGTGACACAACAACAGTTGATTATGTTGACAGTGATGACACAACAACAGTTGATTATGTTGACAGTGGTTGACACAACAGTTGATTATGTTGACAGTGATGACACAACAACAGTTGATTATGTTGACAGTGATGACACAACAACAGTTGATTATGTTGACAGTGGTGACACAACAACAGTTGATTATGTTGACAGTGGTGACACAACAACAGTTGATTATGTTGACAGAGATGACACAACAACAGTTGATTATGTTGACAGTGGTGACACAACAACAGTTGATTATGTTGACAGTGGTGACACAACAACAGTTGATTATGTTGACAGTGGTGACACAACAACAGTTGATTATGTTGACAGTGGTGACACAACAACAGTTGATTATGTTGACAGTGGTGACACAACAACAGTTGATTGTGTTGACAGTGGTGACACAACAACAGTTGATTATGTTGATAGTGGTGACACAACAACAGTTGATTATGTTGACAGTGATGACACAACAGTTGATTATGTTGACAGTGATGACACAACAACAGTTGATTATGTTGACAGTGATGACACAACAACAGTTGATTATGTTGACAGTGATGACACAACAACAGTTGATTATGTTGACAGTGATGACACAACAACAGTTGATTATGTTGACAGTGGTGACACAACAACAGTTGATTATGTTGACAGTGATGACACAACAACAGTTGATTATGTTGACAGTGATGACACAACAACAGTTGATTATGTTGACAGTGATGACACAACAACAGTTGATTATGTTGACAGTGATGACACAACACAACAACAGTTGATTATGTTGACAGTGGTGACACAACAACAGTTGATTATGTTGACAGTGGTGACACAACAACAGTTGATTATGTTGACAGTGATGACACAACAACAGTTGATTATGTTGACAGTGATGACACAACAACAGTTGATTATGTTGACAGTGATGACACAACAACAGTTGATTATGTTGACAAGGTAAAACAATAGTGCTGATGATAATGAAACAAATAAACAAGTAACTCATTATTTTCACTCATTTTCTGTGAACTGACACACCTTCCTCAAGTCTGTGTCAAGCCGGGACTTGGAGCAACAAAACTATTAAACACATTTGGAATTATTGTTTCTCTTTTTAAAAGAGTTCACGAACTATGTTACTTTTAAAATAAGATTAAATTTCCCCGAAGGCATCGGATTTCCACATGTTAAATTCAGTGAGTCACTACTTTACTCTCACATGAACTAAAGGTACAATACAGTAGTATAAACAACATGTGGGACACCTTGAACATCTTAATCCCAAATCAATAGTCTTCTCTGTACTGTACTTGTTAATGCACCTCCACAGTAAAGGCCAGTCAAGCTTTGATGTAGACAGGATAAGTTACTGTGCAGGAAACTACAGTATGATATAAAAAAAACACAGAGTGACAGCAAGAATATACCCCACAATATACTAAGCTTGGGGATGCACTCAACCACCTTCTCATCTTTAGCTATAAAGTAAGGTAACCATTCAAACTGAGGTGGACTGAGTACACACCTGTAAATACCTAAGAGAGACGGCCATATACAGGTGTTCCTTTACTTAAGAACATTCGACTTACAAACTTTCAGAGATACAGTGTACAAACATCAGTGCGGGGGTTACCTTCCAGAACAGGTGTTTAATGTGGTCTTACGGCTGCATTGTAGGGTATAGCTGTACTAAACATCCATTATCTTCTCATTTTTTACAATATGTTTGGTATCTACAAGAGTAATGTTGGATTTACATACAATTGGACTTACAAATAAGCCTCAGGAACGTAACTTGTGCATGAGTAAAGGACCGTCTGTACTGTAGGAAAAAGAACAAGTTTTCAATATGAGAATAGAATATGTGATTGACTCTACATGAAGCAAGAAGACCTCATAATGGTAAGATATAATACAGAGAGCCACCAACACTTTACATTATAATCACCAATACTGTACAGTACAATTCTAAGCTCACTTTTATGCAACTTGTACAATGAACACACACACACACACACACAAATTATATTATCCACCTACTATGAATACAATTAACAGACAGTTTACAATAAAAACCTCTCTGATGACACATTAGCCCCTTCACTACGGGGACGCCACGCCACTTTAACATTTGATTTGACTAATGCACGACAAGGGGTTAAGAATAAATAATTCAGTAAACACATATTTATGAATGTACAGTATAACAACAGACAGGTATTTCATGCATAATAATAACCAACTAGTCTCACGATGTTCCCCCAATATAAATATTCCATACTGATGTGAGCTCTAGCAGTACACGGATCACCTGAAGATTAGCCTTCCCCCAGCTTTATTTCACCTGATGACTAAGCACCCTAATGCTACCTAGGGGGGAGGAGGGAGGGGGGAGGGGGGAGGGGTTAGGATTGGGTGGTTATCTGTCAGGTGAAATAAGCTGGGAGAGGTGAATTTTTAAGTGCTCCTAGTACAGTACATACAGGAATAAACACGTCCCTATCAGCTTACCATAAAACAAAACCTAAAAGGCTCCCAGATTCTGTAGTGTATAGAACACAACTCTCCTCTGTGTGTGTGTGTGTGTGTGTGTGTGTGTGTCATGTTCAGATGGCTGGTACAGTACTGTGGGTTCACCTATAAATATTCACTACGTAAATGGGGTTGCCGGTACATTCAATTAAAAAAAAAATACATATTAGCATATGATGAACCATAACTGTCCAGCAGAACCAGAGTCTTAATGAGATATAGTTGATGACTGAGCTCCTGTACACTCATCCCTCTCACTGCCTCATGTACAGTCACCAACAAAAGTCCTGTCTTCTCTCCTGCTGCTCCATGAACCTCAAGCAGTAGAGACTAATGTATTATTCTGTCCATAAATGGTTTAGAATAATGAGTCTGTATCTCAGGTGTGTGGAGCAGCAGATGAGGTGACAGGACTGTACTGTATTCTCCCCTTAACTCACAGAGAAATGACACACTAAGAGACTTGTAATATATGCCATCACCTCTGTGTAAACATCCTGTAAAAGTTCACTGGGGACATCTTCAGTACACAATGTATAATATGGACACGAAGTAGTACCTTAAGCTGTGTATACTTATATTACCCTATTAATTATGTATAGTAAAGTATTACAGAACATGTATTAATCCTATGTAATATTTCCATTTATTATGCACCATGTTATGTATATGAATTATCATATTTACATTTTATGTATTCAGCTTGTGAATGCTGGCATCTGTACACGCCAGCGCGCAGTGATACATAGAGTGGAGACCACCAGTCCTTATGGTGTGGAAGCGAGCTTCTTGGTCCATCTGTATATATCTCCCGTACGATAATAAGAACCTATTTTTAAGATAACAAGTGTTTGTGTATACCCTCAGTAGTGTAGAACATTTTGGGGGTACCAAAGACGAACATAGACACAACATAAGTCTTACACAGACACTAGTACTGTATATGAAGTAGCCATCTCTGACACCTCAACTAAGCTTCACACAAGTAAAGCTCCATTTCCCTAGAGTGACAAACCAAGTATACTAATGATTTTCACTTGTTTCTCTTAAATACGAAAATATCCTTAATTGGGCTTTTACAAACTTACATACAGTAATGTTCTTTGTTGCCATGGGAAAAGGCTCATGAAAATAATTTTGGTAACTTCCAGTTGAATGGTTTATCATCTACAACATCAACAGGGTCACATGGTCTTAGAATACCATGATAAACTAAGCTTTGTGTGTGCTCTAAGTGTTGACTTAAACTTCAACAACTGATATACTTTGTCTGCAACTGCTGTCCTCGGTGATGACGCCTAGACGTGCAGAGTCTCCACGAGGTACTCACCTCTTCACTACAGGGACGCCACTTTTAATATTTTTATTTGGCTAACATCATGATTTGATTCCACAGAGAGAGGACCCCATACACAAAGCATTAAATAATTTCATAACGACATAAATAAAAAGCCAAATCACCAATCTCATCTGTATCATGTCTATTACCACTCTTATCTGAGCTATAGAGGACACCAACATCCCTGACAATTATTCATAAAATCTGTACAGAAAACCTCTTTACAATCGGTTGTATTAATGCAGGTCTCAAATTTGTACACATTAAGTCTATATACATAACTTGTACTGGAGTTAAAAAATAGTAATTTCCATATCACTGACTTGAATGACTAGATTATTTTTGTTGCGTTGCATCTTAGGTGGATTTGTTTACAGCTCAGCCAGCACGTCATAACTACAACTCTACTTATAAAACATCGCTAAAACTCTTGGTGCACAGTCTAGCCCACAAGACCATCTCCTGTTGAACGCCACACTTCTGGAGACTGAGACACTGAAGAATAATACAGTACTGTTGAATCTCTGTTTGTGATAAGTAAAGACGAACTAAATACTGTAATTGATTTGTACAGTACAGTACATTCATCTACACAACAGTCACCCACAACATACCATCAAGAATATAAGCATTTATAATTATTATACATTATAATGTGACCACAATGACCTACAATAATAATCCTATAAGACAATACTTTACACTCTGTTTAGGAATGACCTATAGAGTACACGTCATTTATGAAGCAACTGAATGACCTATAGAGTAGACGTCCTTTATGAAGCAATAGAATGACCTATAGAGTAGACGTCCTTTATGAAGCAATTGAATGACCTATAGAGTAGACGTCATTTATGAAGCAACTGAATGACCTATAGAGTAGACGTCCTTTATGAAGCAATTGAATGACCTATAGAGTAGACGTCCTTTATGAAGCAATTGAATGACCTATAGAGTAGACGTCCTTTATGAAGCAATTGAATGACCTATAGAGTAGACGTCCTTTATGAAGCAATTGAATGACCTATAGAGTAGACGTCATTTATGAAGCAATTGAATGACCTATAGAGTAGACGTCCTTTATGAAGCAATTGAATGACCTATAGAGTAGACGTCCTTTATGAAGCAATTGAATGACCTATAGAGTAGACGTCCTTTATGAAGCAATTGAATGACCTATAGAGTAGACGTCCTTTATGAAGCAATTGAATGACCTATAGAGTAGACGTCCTTTATGAAGCAATTGAATGACCTATAGAGTAGACGTCCTTTATGAAGCAATTGAATGACCTATAGAGTAGACGTCCTTTATGAAGCAATTGAATGACCTATAGAGTAGACGTCCTTTATGAAGCAATTGAATGACCTATAGAGTAGACGTCCTTTATGAAGCAACTGAATGACCTATAGAGTAGACGTCTTTATGAAGCAATTGAATGACCTATAGAGTAGACGTCCTTTATGAAGCAATTGAATGACCTATAGAGTAGACGTCCTTTATGAAGCAATTGAATGACCTATAGAGTAGACGTCCTTTATGAAGCAATTGAATGACCTATAGAGTAGACGTCCTTTATGAAGCAATTGAATGACCTATAGAGTAGACGTCCTTTATGAAGCAACTGAATGACCTATAGAGTAGACGTCCTTTATGAAGCAATTGAATGACCTATAGAGTAGACGTCCTTTATGAAGCAATTGAATGACCTATAGAGTAGACGTCCTTTATGAAGCAATTGAATGACCTATAGAGTAGACGTCCTTTATGAAGCAATTGAATGACCTCTAGAGTAGACGTCCTTTATGAAGCAATTGAATGACCTATAGAGTAGACGTCCTTTATGAAGCAATTGAATGACCTATAGAGTAGACGTCCTTTATGAAGCAATTGAATGACCTATAGAGTAGACGTCCTTTATGAAGCAATTGAATGACCTATAGAGTAGACGTCCTTTATGAAGCAATTGAATGACCTATAGAGTAGACGTCCTTTATGAAGCAATTGAATGACCTATAGAGTAGACGTCCTTTATGAAGCAATTGAATGACCTATAGAGTAGACGTCCTTTATGAAGCAATTGAATGACCTATAGAGTAGACGTCCTTTATGAAGCAATTGAATGACCTATAGAGTAGACGTCCTTTATGAAGCAATTGAATGACCTATAGAGTAGACGTTCTTTATGAAGCAATTGAATGACCTATAGAGTAGACATCCTTTATGAAGCAACTGAATGACCTATAGAGTAGACATCCTTTATGAAGCAATTGAATGACCTATAGAGTAGACGTCCTTTATGAAGCAATTGAATGACCTATAGAGTAGACGTTCTTTATGAAGCAATTGAATGACCTATAGAGTAGACATCCTTTATGAAGCAACTGAATGACCTATAGAGTAGACATCCTTTATGAAGCAATTGAATGACCTATAGAGTAGACGTCCTTTATGAAGCAATTGAATGACCTATAGAGTAGACGTCCTTTATGAAGCAATTGAATGACCTATAGAGTAGACGTCCTTTATGAAGCAATTGAATGACCTATAGAGTAGACGTCCTTTGTAAACAATTGAATGACCTATAGAGTAGACGTCCTTTATGAAGCAATTGAATGACCTATAGAGTAGACGTCCTTTATGAAGCAATTGAATGACCTATAGAGTAGACATCCTTTATGAAGCAACTGAATGACCTATAGAGTAGACATCCTTTATGAAGCAATTGAATGACCTATAGAGTAGACGTCCTTTATGAAGCAATTGAATGACCTATAGAGTAGACGTCCTTTATGAAGCAATTGAATGACCTATAGAGTAGACGTCCTTTATGAAGCAATTGAATGACCTATAGAGTAGACATCCTTTATGAAGCAATTGAATGACCTATAGAGTAGACGTTCTTTATGAAGCAATTGAATGACCTATAGAGTAGACGTCCTTTATGAAGCAATTGAATGACCTATAGAGTAGACATCCTTTATGAAGCAATTGAATGACCTATAGAGTAGACATCCTTTATGAAGCAATTGAATGACCTATAGAGTAGACGTCCTTTATGAAGCAATTAACTCAATTATGTTTCAGTGTGTTTAATGTGTATCTGCTCAATGGTGTCAATCTGTTTGGTCAACTTAGAGTCAAAACTGTTGAGTGAGAAAGCTTTTAGGGGTGACTGTCACCGGCTGTTAACATAGATTCTGATTAAAAAACTAAAAGTTGATCCTGGCTTCACTTTCTTGTAAGACAGCTGATGTGATGCCTTACAGCAGTTGTCATCTGGCACCTGCTGGTTATTATTCATGCCTGCCACAACAACCTATGTGTGACACTCCCTCTTCTTAAAGTTACCATCACAGTACAGTAGGACAAACATCTCCAGTGAACAATATGGATACAAGTGTAGTGTTTAGTGTGCCAACACCACCTCCTCACGACACCTCTTTTTGTTTTCTCACTCGGTCACATGTATACCGAACACCTGGGAATGACAGTGATTATATTCTGTGCTAAATTATCTTAAAATAATGCCAGTACTGTACTGTATATAAATAAGGTAACACAGCACTGTACAGGTACTCAATTACCCCATGCCCGGTGCCATTCACAAAAGGACGGCCATAACTCTCGGGCTTCTTTCTTAGATAACTTTGGGTCGGGTGTTGTCAATGAGGCCCAACACAGCTGAACATGAGTGTGGCACATAACTCATCCTTCTGCACCACAAGAGATACTTACAGTACTAACCCAAAGGAAATAAGTTACAGCAGATGTCAATACTGGAAACACACTCTTTAACTTGATGGAACCAGCAACAGGTTCTGGCCAGCTACAGTATGGTGTTGCTGACTAGTCATACTCAGATCCAATAGTGATGGAAAGTTCTCCTTCATGGATGTAGGTCGTGTGGTACCATTGGTTAGTATCAACAAAAACTGCAAGAGAGGATCAGTGTTAGTCATATATCACAGGAGGAATATAATAACAGTGGTCCTCTCTCAGTACAGGAAATTTAATAAATAATAATTCACAAAAAGTAAAATATCAACATACTGTAATATGTCAGCAAGACAACAAAGATTAACAACTGAAGAATGTTGTTTCAGAGTTCAGTTTTGTCATCAATTTGAGCAGTTGTAAATCTATATCATTTCTTTTTCTACTGTGACCTGCAGACTACAGTACATACAGTACTTACTTATATCTCCCTTGTTGACAGTGACACTGAAGGGTTGGCACACCTGTTGACACTCTGGCACTGGTCTGAAGTGCCAGGTCTTGGTACCACTCACCTGAGCCTGCCAGGAGGGCCTCTGTACATAGTCCAGCTGTGAACACAACAATATTTTGGCTAACATCTTCGATATCTGTACTGTACTCTACCTAGACTGCACAGTATATCTGCACTGTACTCTACCTAGACTGCACAGTATATCTGTACTGTACTCTACCTAGACTGCACAGTATATCTGTACTGTACTCTACCTAGACTGCACAGTATATCTGTACTGTACTCTACCTAGACTGAATAGCATTTTGAAAACTGTCATTCTCACTACAGTATCTCCACACTAACCTGGTCCGTATGCCACGCCCCTCTTCTATACTAATAGCTGATTGGTTCATAAAAAATTTAAACTAAATGTGTTCACAGTTGGTAAGCAGACCTGTTATTATCTAAAATAATGTTAAGTAACTGAACTATCAAAATGCAAATGATTTCAAGGCATTAGCACTTCAGAGAGGAAGTTAGAAAATTTAAATATTTATCATAAAAGGTCGATTTAAATACTCGCTTGTGCACGAGCAGTCCGGGGGAGGGGGGAGGTAAAACACTCAGGGGAACCAATCAGCTATTTGTAGCTATAGACGAGGGGCGGAGCTTAGGGTCAGCTTAGTGTGGACAGGGTATAGTGACATCATCCACATGACCTACTCAATAGTTGACAAGACTGCTGACAGTGGCATGTAATACACCCACCTTATGGATCTGTTCCCGCAAAATGGCATCACCATGACCAAATGGAATAATATTTTTAACCCACAAAACAAGAGGAGCCTTCCCCTAGGACCCCAGTAACACCATGATCTTCAGTGCACGGAAGTTCATATTTTCATTTCAAACAAAAGCTCTTATTACCTATACATTACTAACAAAATAATAATAATAAAAATAATAATAATAATAATGAACATTTGTTTGTGTGACCCCAACACAAAATAAATCCTCTTGCTCTCTCTCCCTCCCCCAGGGCAGGGTGCTGTACTGTGTAACATCTTGGTCACCAGTAGAGAGAAAATCAGGTCCAGAAACCCATATTCTAGTTCAAGTACAGTCAATCCTCGACTTACGACGGGGTTAGGGACCGACGACCAGGTCGTAAGTCGAAAATGCGAAAATAATACATAGAAAATCTAAAATTGGTGTCTCTTTTTCTTTTCAGCACCACGAGAACTCTCACTTTTAAGCTTGCCAGCCATTTTAAAGGGAATTACAAACGAAAATTTTGTCACCACACAGCGCGATCACTAACGTAGGGACTTGAAAATACGTAATTTGAAAAATATTTTATACGACTGCGGAGGTCGTATGTCCGGGTGGTCATTCTGTAAGTTGAGTAGGTCATAAGTTGAGGAGTACATGTATACTGTACTGTACTGTGCTGTACAGTACTGTACTATACTATTCTGTACTGTATACTGTACTGTGCTGTGCTGTACTATACTATACTATTCTGTACTGTATACTGTACTGTACTGTACTGTACTATGCTATTCTGTACTATACTATACTACAATTGAACCTCGATTTACGCGGTTCTCGTTTATGAGTTTGGTCATTTACGCGGTACCTTGCCAGAACCGGGATGCCCAATTTACGCGATGAATTTACTCATTTACGCGGGTGAAGTATAATTTGTTTATTTACTGAAGATATTTGTTTAGCTCATAAAATTCATACAAATTACCCGGTCAGAATATAATTTACATTGCTGGAATTCTTATAAGATTTGATTATTTTAAATATAAACATCATGGAATTTGCATTAGACATACAAATTTTAGATCTAATTTAAGAATTTTGATTACAAAGCCAAAATTTTTTCTTTTGTGCAAAATATATGACGTGTATATTCAAAATATTCCTGACCTTGCAAGGAATCCAGCAATGTCAATTATATTATCCTAACTTTAGTCTGAGGTATTATTTATTACTATACCTTAAAATCTAGTGTTTTCACTCAAACATTTCTCAGAGAGGGAAGAGCCAGCGAGTGTGAGAAGAGGGGAGTTGAGTCCATTATTGAATGGACATTAACCTGGCGACTGTATTTCTCTTAAATGTTAATTATGTGAGCATACCATCATAAATTAAGATGTTATTTTTTACTACAACATAGGTATTGTGTCGGAAAAAGTGGAGTTTGGGGGTCGGCCCAGTCTCTATTTCAATTAATCCCATATGTTCTGTTATTCCATTTACGCGTTTCTCGTCTTACGAGCTACTCTGCGGGTTCAATTGACTGCGTAAATCGGGGTATTACTGTATACTATTCTGTACTGTATATTGTTCTGTACTGTATATTGTACTGTACTGTACTGTACTATACTGTACTGTACTATACTATTCCGTACTATACTGTACTGTATTGTACTGTGCTATACTGTACTGTACTATACTGTACTGTACTATTCTGTACTTTACTGTACTGTACTTTACTGTACTGTACTTTACTGTACTGTACTATACTGTACTGTACTTTACTGTACTATACTATACTATTCTGTACTATACTGTACTGTACTGTACTGTACTGTACTGTACTGTAGTGTACTGTACTATACTGTACTGTACAATACTGTACTGTACTATACTATACTGTACTGTACTATACTGTACTGTAGTGTACTGTACTATACTATACTATACTGTACTGTACTGCACTATACTATACTGTACTGTACTGTACTGTACTATACTGTACTATACTGTACTATACTGTACTATACTGTACTTTACTGTACTGTACTGTACTGTACTGTACTGTACTATACTGTAGTGTAGTGTAGTGTACTGTACTGTACTATACTATACTATACTATACTGTACTGTACTGTACTGTACTATACTGTACTGTACTGTACTGTACTGTACTATACTGTACTGTACTATACTGTACTATACTGTACTGTACTATACTGTACTTTACTGTACTGTACTGTACTGTACTGTACTATACTGTACTGTACTGTACTGTACTGTAGTATCAATGTTGAGAGAGCAAGACTTTTGACCCAGTGAGTTTAACATCAAGAAGATCTTTCTCTCCCTAGATGGAAGGAAGGAACCAAAACAATATCATGTTCACTGATACACACAAGTTACTGTTAGCCACTCTAACATTCCGGCACTGACCATCACCTGTGACCTAGTGAACACAGACCTTCCTCTCCCTACAGGTAAGGTGTGTTGCTACAGGGTGTTGATGAAACGTCCCCAAACATCAGTATGTACAGTCGGGATCAAAAGACCGCTCCCTCCCACAATGAAACAACATCGACCCCAAATGACATAAAACGACTGTCAGCTCGAAGATTCATTCCCGTGACTCAGTTTCACCAGGGGGAGCGAACTCTTCTCCACGACTGTACAGCACTGTTCTTTTTACCATCATTTGGTGCATATACATATATTCTTGATCACGTTCACTGATCATTGTGATGTGTGAGTTACGATTGTACACAGAAGTAAACATAGTGAGGAATATGGTCAAGTGTGGAGGCTGAGCAAGAGCGGTACAGTACAGTCCACCACAATATGTGGAGAGAGAGACTCACATGCCAGGGGCTCCAGGTCCCTCACTGCCCATGAAGATCCAGTCAAGGGCAGAGGACTCAGAGTGGCGGGGGAGGAAGACTGGTCTGGGTGCCAGCTGCCGCAGGATGACGCTCACCCCCGGGGAACAGTTGCTCCTGCAGGGTAAAGTTCATATCATTAACACACACACTGTAAGGGCTGTAACAAGCGGGATGGTTGTCCGCCGCTCGTTCGCAGCCCCACAAGGGGGAGGGGGGAGGGGGGGGAGACAGAGGTGAGAAGGTCACTGCTGCCTCGTCACACGCCAGACACAATCCAAGCCATCACCATTACTTCTCCCCGCTGTTCGATTCTAACTCTGGTTGTGTACTCATCTGAGGTTCCTCGGGCTCATGGGCTGATTCCCAAGTCCTTCACTATTCGGCTGTCAACTCTGGTCACCTACTCCAGCTACTGCCGCGGCTGCCACATAATCGCCACTTCCTCCACGCCCTATCCACCGTTCGTGCCCTGGCTTCTCTCCTGTGTGGCAAGACATCGCCCACCAACGCCGGCGCCAAGTGAGGAAGCTGCCCTGGACCTTCCCCCTGAGAATGGATCACCGCGTTACCAGAACATTCCACCGGGCTGGTTAGGAGGAAGAGTCATCTGCAGCCGTAGGAAATACCTGTACTTGTTGTATTGATTGTTTTGTTTCAAGTAATTGTTTGACTCCAGTGCTGTTTATTTAATATTTGTGTGAGTGGTGTCAGAGTTAAATTATTGTGATTATTTTCGTAGTAAAGAGATGTCAATCTCTAACAGTTGTTTATTACCTCTTGGAAACCCATGGTTCTTGACTTTCCTTTTTATAAGATCCAGATAAGGCTGGCAAGGAATTTATATCCTACAGGTGAGGCCTTCTCACACACACACACACACACACTACTACTACTTTGCTGTCACTCGGAATCGAGTATGACGATCATCCAGCTATGATACAATGATATGAGTTATTAGGTATGTCACCTTTGTTGGTGAGCTCTGAGGTGACTAAAGAGGCCGATACGGGACCAGCAGGGTCGTCCATTGATGCTGCACACGTGGAGGACTAAATCTAGTGCGGGAAGGGCGGCAGCAGCGTCTTTCTAGCGTTGGCGCTTGTCTGCCTTAGTGTGACAGTCGGGCTAATTCTAAAGTATTAACACTTTGTGTGGTGCTCCTATTTACTATTCGTTAGGTGACTGTAAAGTAGCTGCTTTGGCAGTCTACTGTCGTCCATGTGGGTAACATGGCCAGTCCAGCATAGTTGTTCATGGATAATGGTAGCCTCGATGCTCCTACAGTTGGTGTCAGCAAGAATACTGGCATTTGTTCTCTTGTGTTCCCAGCAAACTCAGAGGATGGAACGTAGACTATGTTGGTGAAAGTTTTCAAGTGCTTTGAGGTGCCTCCTGTATGTGACCCATGTCTCGCTGCCATATAGCAGGGTGGGGAGGACCACTGCTCGATATACATACAACTTTATAGATAACTAGCAGAAACACCGCCCATTCGCTAGGCCACGGTAGGGCGCCACCCTCCGGGAGGCTTCACATTGTCTCACTGTTCAGTCCCCAAAACTTCTTCTTCCATCAATAGTTCATTAACGGTGTATGTAAGTTCCACCATGTTTTTCACTACAACGGTACAGCAAAGTATATATTTTTAGCATTAAACTTATTATTTTATTGTCTAATCATCACTACATATAACACCATCCATCATCACTACATATAACACCATCCATCATCACTACATATAACACCATCCATCATCACTACATATAACACCACCTATCATCACTACATATAACACCATCCATCATCACTACATATAGCACCATCCATCATCACTACATATAACACCATCCATCATCACTACATATAACACCATCCATCATCACTACATATAACACCACCTATCATCACTACATATAACACCATCCATCATCACTACATATAACACCACCTATCATCACTACATATAACACCACCCATCATCACTACATATAACACCATCCATCATCACTACATATAACACCACCCATCATCACTACATATAACACCATCCATCATCACTACATATAACACCACCCATCATCACTCCATATAACACCATCCATCATCACTACATATAACACCATCCATCATCACTACATATAACATCATCCATCATCACTACATATAACACCATCCATCATCACTACATATAACACCATCCATCATCACTACATATACCACCACCTATCATCACTACATATAACACCACCCATCATCACTACATATAACACCATCCATCATCACTGCATATAACACCATCCATCATCACTACATATAACACCATCCATCATCACTACATATAACACCACCCATCATCACTGCATATAACATCATCCATCATCACCACACATAACACCATCCATCATCACTACATATAACACCATCCATCATCACTACATATAACACCATCCATCATCACTACATATAACACCACCCATCATCACTGCATATAACATCATCCATCATCACTACATATAACATTATCATCCATCATCACTGCATATAACACCATCCATCATCACTACATATAACACCATCCATCATCACTACATATAACACCATCCATCATCACTACATATAACACCATCCATCATCACTACATATAACACCAATCACACACATCCATCATCACTACATATAACACCATCCATCATCACTACATATAACACCATCCATCATCACTACATAACACCATCCATCATCACTACATATAACACCATCCATCATCACTACATATAACACATCCATCATCACTAAATATAACACCATCCATCATCACTACATATAACACCATCCATCATCACTACATATAACACCATCCATCATCACTACATATAACACCATCCATCATCACTACATATACAACACCATCCATCATCACTACATATAACACCATCCATCATCACTACATATAACACCACCATCATCACTCAATAACACCATCCATCATCACTACATATAACATCCATCATCACTACATATAACACCATCCATCATCACTACATATCACAACACCATCCTATCATCACTACATATATCATCCATCATCACTACATATAACATCATCCACATCACTACTATAACACCATCCATCATCACTACATATTACCATCATCACTGCATATAACACCATCCATCATCACTACATGTAAAACATCCATCATCACTACATATAACACTATACATCATCATTACATAAACACATCCATCATCACTACATATATACCATCATCACTACATATAACATCATATCATCACTACATATAACACCATACCATCACTACATATAACACCATCATCATCACTACATATAACACACCATCATCACTACATATAACAACATCCATCATCACTACATATAACACCATCCATCATCACTACATATAACACCATCCATCACCACTACATATAACACCATCCATCATCACTACATATAACACCATCCATCATCACTACATATAACATCCATCATCACTACATATAACACCATCCATCATCACTACAGATCAGTAAAGTAGTTTCCGAGATTCTCGTGCGGACAAACAAACAAACAAACAAACAGACAGACAGACTTCTTTGTTTTATATAGATTTCAGCTCCCTACAACTGAAGACACAGTTATGGGGTCTGCCAAACGCCTGAGATGCACATCTGAACCAATGTTGAATGTCTTCATCGATATCCGGGGTGGTGGACAGGTGTGAGCCGAGATACTGAAAGTGGGTAACATTAGAGACGGTAGTACAGTTAAGCTGGAGGTGTGTCTGAACCAGGGGCAGGTTGAAAGAGAGTCTGAGTCTTACGTACATTCACCTCAAGGCCGAAGTGTGCATACACATCTGCGTATGTGTTCAGGATCTCCTGTAGGTGGTGTTCAGTGTGAGCAACAAGGGTGAGGTCGTCTGCATACTGAAGTTCAGTAATGGAAGCTGCCGACACCTTTGTTCTTGCCTGGAGTCGTCTTATACTTCACCCGGTACTCGATGTCAACCCCGCCGGCTAAATTAGCACTGGTATGAATAAGGAAGGCAGCCAAGATAATGGAAAAGAGAGTTGGTGCCAGTACACACCCTTGTTTAACCCCCGTTTGGATGGGGAAGAACTCGGACTGGGTGCTGTTGTGCAGGACACTGCCGTTCATGCCATCATGGAGTTGCCTCACACTGGCGATGAATTTTGGTGGGCAGCCAAAACGGCTGAGGGTCCACCAGAGGGCTTCCCTGTTGACCGAGTCGAAGGCCTTGGTTAGGTCAATAAAGGCCATGTACAGGTCACGATGCTGTTCTCTGCACTTTTCCTGTATCTGGCGGGCAGCAAAGATCATGTCAGTGGTGCCACGTGATGGTCTAAAACCACATTGAGATTCTGGGAGGAAGTTTTCCGATTCAGGAAGAAGTCTGTTTAGGAGGACTTGGGCTATAATCTTGCCAGCTACGGACAGAAGCGAGATCCCGCGGTAGTTGCCACAGTCTGACTGGTCTCCCTTGTTCTTATAAATATTAATAATGGAGGCGTCTTTAAGAGCTTGGAGGATTACCTCTTTTTCCCATATATTCTTCAGGAGTGGAAACTGCTGGTAAGAAGAGGTCCTCCTGCCTTATACACCTCGGCTGGGATTCCATCAGGCCATGAGACTTTGTTATTTTCCATCTGCTTGATGGCAGTAGCTACCTCATCCAGGGAAGGAGGATAGCTGAGGTGGGTCAGCTCTGGATACTGAGGGACCTGCTGGGTAGTCAGGACATCCATATTGGTGTTTCGGTTGAGCAATGAATGGTAGTGCTCTTTCCAGCATGGAAGGAGGCCTTCATCGTCTTTAATTATGAGGTTACCTTCAGATGAGCGGAGGAGGGCTGCGCCACGAGTGACTGGCCCATAAAATGTTTTAGTGGAATTTAAAATTTTTCGCTAATCTTGTGCTATTCTGTATGTTTTTGTATTTCACATGCTTTATTTTTAAGCCAGTCGTTCTTTAGAATGCAAAGTTCCCGCTGGGCTGCCACATTCTTCTTGTGGAAGGTATCAGCTTTGGTCCGAGACTGAGAGTTCTTCTGTCAGTCAGTTAAAACAGCACGTTTATCATTGA